TGCATTGTGGACCGGAGGAAGTGGAACGCTACTGCAGCTGCGGACTCATCAAATTCGCTTCAAATTTGTTCCCAGAAGTAGTCAGACCTTTTAAGCGCAAATATCTATCCGTTCGGCCCGAAACCTAGCGCCCGCGCCACAGGCGTCGGCGGCAGAATACCCCAAATCATGGGCTCCTGTGGAGCGGGCGCCACGAGGTTTTGGGCTTAGCGGATGTGATATTCGTGTTCAGAAGGAGCCAAGTCTGTTCACGGAGAAAAAAATCGGTCGAAAATTGGCTCGATTCAGGATGATTGGGACAGAAAGGGTGAACAGTGCCGTTTTCCTATACCTTCCCGTAAACCGTCGATTTGACCAAAGCTCATCGCACAGTAGTTTTTTTATAGTTCAGCCTTGAAGACATTCCATTTGAAATGTAGAAGTCACAGTGCACACCAGTATATGGTTTAGTGTTTCTTCACTAACAAATTAACCATGCCTGGAAAATGAATTGCTTGAGGTTGGAAGCTCCGAATTCCAGGAATCCACTGATATTGCCTGTCCGAGGAAGCACACGAAAAGACGTCAACTGAAGTGGAAAAATCTTGCCTGAGAGCATAATTGTGCACGAAAACACCTAATTGCCCCACGGCGATGTCAGCGCTCGCACTCGCGCATTTCATCAGCCCCTTTTCCGAACACATCGAGAAGCCTTCTCGGAATATTTAAGTGATTTCTCCGGTCCATTTGATAGAAGTCGAATATATGTACGTATTGCTAGAGGCTCCCTCTTCCCACCCTCCCCTTCCATGCGCTCAGAACTCATGATTTGCAGCGCTGGCACCTTTTTCACAACTTAGTCAGCGTGATAGCATTAATGCCCTCTTGAAGAATTTGATTTGCCAATATTGAAGCTCATCCTCTTCCGAAAAGACATCACCGCCCACGAACCCTTCAACCCCCACCATTCAATTATGACATCACGCACAAGGTTCAAAGTAATTTCTCAACCTTCCTCATCGTTCGTATAGTTAGGTATACCAGTAGGTGTCTAAGGTCACATGCAGACTATGCGAACGCTAACGATCGATCAGAATCTGCGCAAACCTCTCCATTGACTGGGTGCTGAATCAGCATTCAGGTTATGCGTGCATGCTTCCACCATCTCTTTGCGAACATTCAGATGACGCACACAACGGCGAAAAGTGGGCCCATCCGTTCCAATAAGCATCAACTCGAGTTTCGAGCACGCTTGGCATTGCGGTTTTTCAGCACGGCTCTGGCTGCTTCCGATGCTTGCCGCTGCCTACTGTCAACGTTTTTAATTTATTACAAATGAATCTGCTTTGATATGCTTTAACCACTTGTCAAAAACCATATATGGAATCTAGCCCACCAACGATATTTCGCTTTGCTCTCGCTTTATTCTCTTTGTTCATTAATACTTCCCATGTTATGTTCCTGCATGTCCCTTCTTGCTAGAAATGGGTTGAGCGAAAAGCCTGCGACACAACGAGCACGTCTCTGATCAGGGCACGATCTGCCCTTGCGAAAAAAAAACTTCGCAAAATACGTCTACTCATGAAAATTTCCTTCTCTGTTTCGATCTTCGCTCTTCCCCATCCTACCTACCATCTTCCTAACCTCTCGAAACTTGCCCATACCACTTTTCCACTCCTTCCAGAATTCCCCACTTTTCCCCCGCAGAAAAACTACAGCCATCGAACGAGGAAGGGGTGGCGTTATATGAGGATAGCGGGGAAGGGGGGGGAGGGGGCATAAAGCGCTTGTGAAAGGAGAACAGAACAGAAAACAGATCAGAAGAGAGCATGTTCTGAAAGCGAATACGATCCCCCTTCTCTCTCTCTCTCTCTCTCTCTCTCTCTCTCTCTCTCCCTCTCTGCAGATCCTCCTTCTCCCTACAATCCTTCCCCCCCGATGGGGTAGCAAGAAAGGACCATGCCCGCGGAGTAAGACTAGAGACCTATTGTGCAGTGAGCAGAATAGGTACTTTGCTTTCTGGCTCATCCCATAGGAATGCGATTACTGGGTTACTAGAGCACTTCTATTTCTCAGAAGTTCACTGTACCGCATTGTACAACAGTTCCAGCAACAGGACGAAAAACCCTTCTTACCATCAAACCACTTTTCGTCTTCTTTCCCGGTAATTCTACCCATAGCAGCGCTCTTCTGTCGACGCTTTGCTGGCCAGCTTCGCTTAAAGGCAGTTGGCACGATAAATTAGTACTCAGCCTGAAATGCTAGCAGGGCGCTATCTAGTGGGGAAAATGGCGAAAAAACGAAGTGAAACGGTCAAAAACTGCGAAGAAAAGCCTTCGCTCTTGAAAGCAATTTCGGACGAGTTTCCCGTAGGTGTATTGCAAATAGCCGCTCGGGTGTGTAGCAACAGAATCGTCCGGGCAGATGGCGGGTGTGGCCTGCGACATACTTGCGGCGAGAAGACGAAGCGTGCTTCTGGCGGTTTGAATAGGGTTATTGAAGGGAAGGTAAATATTGATATCACCCAGGATCGAGTCTTGTGTTCAGTTACGGTTAAGTTTTCAGTTAGAGTATGAAAAAGTTCAATAGAGCACGAAATTCATTGGGGTCTTTAACATTTGCTCTGGTTTGTCATCTTTTACAGCAGCTCACAGAAAAACTTGGCCATCCGTCTATTATATTGACGCTGGCGACTGCGCAAATCATGTGAACCACATAAACATAGGGAGAATCACGGCCTTATCTGATTTCTTTTGTATCTGTTTATTTCCTGAAGTTGCGTTTATGGAACCGCCAAACAATTGTGTGTTACTATCAAGGAAAACATCATTAGATAGATCTGCAATCAGTTGAAACCAGTCGCAAAGCTGGCGGCTATCAAATGCACGTAAGTGAGCTGCAGAGTCATTCGCGACGCGCCGCGTGCAGCGGGCCGGACGATTCTGTTGCACGTCTCCCATACCCCCTCCGGTAGGCACGGCAGCATGTATGTACTCATATATCATTCAGCACTGCAGCCGCTTCATACCAATCCCTTCGCTTCATATTTTACTTAGCAAATGAAGCAAAACGAGCATCTGGTTAGGTAGCTCTACCCTGAGCATCACTTGTCACTGCTTTTGAAGGTCTAGACGGCCGATTGTGTCCTCTGAGAAGCCCGGACAAGCAGACATGTGCCGCAGTCGCCCACCCACGTTACAAGGACGGGGGCGAAACAGGTGTCGCAAGTGGGTTAACGTACACAACATACATATACACCCAGGAACGGTGATTCCACGAAGCGCTGTAGCGTTGCAAACAGGTCAGGAAATATTCTAATAGCTCGGGGACGTCGCTGCAGAACGAAAGAAACTTCTTACACTTATGGACAACTACATATCGACTTTTCAAAGCCGCCCACCGCGCACGCCACAAGAGCTGCAAGCACTACTCTTCCAAGTCCCATTTACAAAGTGTAGCTAACGAGGGATTCTTCAGAATATGATCTCATTGTATAGCAGTATGGCAAAACTTGAATCAATGTGGGTGAAAGTCTGCACTCCATCAATGCACGGAACTTAACAATCACGCCAACGAGATACTCGCTCCCTCTCCAGAGAAGAGTTCGAACGGAGCAGAAAAACAAGTCTTCCGGACGGATCAAATGAGCATGCAAACCTGCTCGGAATGGGCTGATGCAAGTGCACCATTGACCTCTCGTTTCTTAAGATTTAGAACCAGTAACACCCCCAAGTAAGTATCAATTCGGATCAACTTATGATGGTAGTTTTTTCAGCATATTGCCCATCGAGGAGACTTTCTCAAATAACTACGAGCAGCGTGCTGTAATAATTCTAGCCATTTTTATCCAACCACATCGTATATGGAGGGAATCCCCTGCAGGGGGCAGCATTTGGTCGCTGGAGGAGGTGGTGTCGTATTTGGCCAAGAAAGCTGATCGTGTCAGAGGAGGAACTAGCGAAGTCGTTTTTCCCAACATTTTCCCCAGCGAAGGAAGTGCCCTGATTTATACACTCGCACTACTGAGGAAGCTGCACACATATAATTCAATCATGATCAGTACAACTAGGGTTCAGCATCCCTGGGAGAGTCCCGTCAGGGGAAGGGTCGTTTTTGGCCATGGCGGTCTCACTAGATCGATGGAGATGATTGTCATATCTGGTCTTTCAGAAATTTTTCCAAGCCACAAGTGGAACTCTCTCCATTGGTGGCTTTTCGCGGCTTCCGCTCTGAGTCCGCTCTGGTGTAGGGGAAAAGGTAATGCAGGATACGAGCCCCTACCCCACCCTCACCCGATCTACCATCTTTTCTGAATCATCCAGTTTAATTCTATTTTCAAAAGTAGTTTCTTTGAGTTTTTTTTTCTCCTTCAATTCCCACTTTTCCCGGAGAACTACCGTAGTGTGGGGTGAACGAGGAGGAGGGGGAGGGGTATATAGCGCATTTGCTGGCACAGGGAAAACAAGGAAAAGTCAACAATCGAAAAGGTTTTTCACAAGACAAGCATGACCTCTTCCGTACCGCGACCAATACCACCGACCCCCCCCCCCATCCACCGTTGCTTGAAGTGGCCAACCTACAAATTGCTCGCTCTCATTTCATGTGTGTTAAATATCACCTACCTTTCCCGCATTCCCCTCCCCACTTCCGTCGGTGTTCTCAAGAGCTGTGAACCACTATTTCTACAATTTTATATCCACAACACCTCTCACCCCTAACTCAAATACCATAGGTCGATAGCGATTACTTAGTTCTTCCCAGCTAGGAACCTCGAGCCGGTAGAACCCAACCGCCCACCTCATTTGCCCCCATCTTTGATGCTCACCCGCTCACTCTACGTCCCTAACCAGCTGTCACTAGTCCCCCGTCGTCTGTGCTCTGGTTTTCCCCATTGGCGGCCGTCCAACTCGGGTGTGCAGCTGCCACCTCGGTGGCTCATTTCTGGCTCGGCATGTCCTGAATTCGCTTTCTTTTCTCATCGCAGATGATCCACTAAATTCTGCATTATTCACCATCCGAGGATGTCTGTCACTGAGCCGGAGTTTCGGCGTGCTTTGGCGGATTTTGTCTCGAGGATTGATCAACTTGGTAAAACAGAACGATGGACTCTGCACAAGGTATGGTCTCTATACACTTGCAAAGTCCATTTTGTTTCTTTTTGTTGCCTTTGTATTTCCTTTTTCTCAAAATAGCGATTATATCGAAGCAAGTGGTTTCTGATACGCCGAACGAGCTATCTAGCACCGATCAAGCTTCCCCAGTTCTTGTGTACCGAATATGGGGTCTCATTGGAAACCATTTGTTGTCAATCCGTGCCGGTATTTCGTTGAAAGTGAAGGTGTTAGAGGGGTGGTAGTACGAGATGAATACGGTGAAGTTCACGAAGAGCATATCCTCTTTTCGTGACTCATGGCTTCAACATTAAACGACAACTGCTGTGGAAATGCGATATGCAACTGCTCTTGTCGGGCTTCGACCTTGTAACAATCAAAACTCAGATGGATTGATGGGTTCGTTCATCTCACCATTAGAGACCTTCACGCGAGCTTTTTCACGCTCATTCACGAAGTAATGAATCCTTCATGCCTCATTTCGCGTCCCACTGTGCCATCTGGAAATTTTGCCTCTTCACTTGATCGCTTCGTATGGACCATTTTCATTTTGAAATCGGACACTTTTTAGACTAAATCGGACACACTCTGTACATCGGACATTTGATTCATTATGCCATTAGGTGCCGCTGCGAGCCCCACTCCAACGTCCCCACCCACTTTTTGGCGCGGTCATGGTTCCCCAAATGTGTTTCAGGCATTTTGCTTCCGTGGCTTTTTGCACCTGTTTCGCCCATACATGATAACTGAGAAGGATTGATACCGACACAGATCTGACCGCCCACATTTGACGTATTATCGTGATTTTTTATTTTAGAACTTTTTCAACGCCGTTATTTTCACATCAATTCTTCACAAAACGAATGCAGTATAGACATGCGTCACATACGCCGGCACACCGCGCCCCATTTTTTTGCGAAATTTTCGTCTTTACATTCCGGAAAATTTCGCCTTGCTAGGTTGCAAAAGCTAGCTCCTCTCACATGGCAGAAACCCGGCCCACTTTGAAAAATGATTCGAATCAAACAGTGAAAGAACAGAAAAACCTGACAAAAGCAGAATCTAAATACAAGTGAACTTGCAAGAACCATGACCGCGCTGAGAAGTGGGCGGAGTTTGCAGCAGTACCTCATGTGTTCTAATTAGTGAACTATCCGATTCATTCATTGAGTGTGTCCCAAGTGCCCGAGTTGGTTTAGGACGGAAAAAGGAAAAAGAAAGAAGGAAGGAGAAGATCTCATTTATACGCGATCCAACTTTCTCGACGGTTTCTCCCAGGCTCGCGAGGCTGTCAAAGTCTCAAATCACTCACAATCAGACTATGTTCACTTTGCCAGTGAGGACTGTGGGGCACAAACATTGTGGGCGGGGCCTGCTCCGGTTTGGGCGGAGTCAGACGAAATCTGTAAAATAGTTTCAGAGCACTCCAGACACCGGAAAAAAGTGGATTAAGGTCAGCAGAGGGTCGCCGGTGAGGATTGTGGGGCACAAAAATTGGGGCGGAGCCTGTTTCGAGGTGGGCGGAGCCAGACAAAAAATCTGCAGAACGGTTCCAGAGCACTTCAAAGACCGGAAAAAGTGGATCAAGGTCAGCAGAGGGTCGCCGGTGAGGATTGTGGGGCACAAAAATTGGGGGCGGAGCCTGCTTCGAGGTGGGCGGAGCCAGACAAAAATTCTGCAGAACGGTTCCAGAACACTTCAGACACCGGAAAAAGTGGATTAAGGTCAGCAGAGGGTCGCCGGTGAAGAGTGTGGGGCACAAAAATTGTGGGCGGGGTCTGCTCTGAGGTGGGCGGAGTCAGACGAAGAATCTGTAAAATAGCTCAAGAGTACTTCAGACACCGGAGAAAAGTGGAGTACAGAACAAAAGGCGGATATCAGTTGAGTCTAGAAATATGTGAGAGAAGGTACGCGCGGCGAAGCCGCGCCCGCCCGGCGCAGCCGGGCCGTATCAGGAGCCGCGCCGGCGTCAGCCGGCGAGGCGACTGGTATTATATAATGTAGGATCACAATGCGTACTGCATAGCGGTTTGTACCTTAGCGACCACCGGATGATGTCCATCCTATCACAGCAAGGCTCAGTTTCATGTACCACCTCATAGCTGTAATAGAGTAAACCAACAAACTTTCGAAAAACTTCTTCTTTCAGTCGGACATAGGGATTTGCGCCAAGCAGTCCGTGATGGTGAAATGGCGAAAAGAAGCAGTGAACCGGCAAGTGCACGTCACCTACAACCCAGTATACGGAGTCCCCGTGCTGTGGTTCAATTTTTACCGACGAGGTAATGGGATTTCGTTGGTGGGACATCGCCGCCAGTTTTCAAAACAGTGTCCGGCTCCCATTTGATTAACATCTATTGCACTTTTTTTAGACGGTACGCCTCTTACGAGCTCGGAAATTATGGAAATGTCGAGCAACGAGGGGTCTTCGGAAGTCTCGCAGTATATATCTCTGAATGAACATCCGATTCTCGGCGTACTCTTCTATAATATTCATCCGTGTAAAACCAAAGAAATACTCACTGAGCTTAATGGGAAAGGGAACTATATTGCGAAGTAAGTGACACACTCATGAATGACATTGAGAGAACATATATCATTTAATATTCATTTAACATTTATCTGTAGTTATTTTCATTGTTTATTTTTGAACCAACAACGCTGGCAGCAGGGCACGTTCTGCTGTTGAGGAAAATGTGTTTATTCAAACAAGAGAATATCCAAATTTCTGAATCAGGGTCGCTCCTCCAAGGGATGCGATATGAGCTCAAAGGATATGTTTTTGTGTGTTAAAAAGGCCTTCCAGTGACTGCTTCACAGTTTGTAATACGTGTAATACGTCTAGAAATACGGAAGAAACTGTTTTTGCTCGATGATATCATCGTTAAGCCGTTATTTCGTTGCTCTAATTTCAGATGGTTGTCTGTATACGGTGCTCCGATTGGTGTCGCCCCGCCTGATGCGTTATTCACTTCGAAAGCACTTTCACAGCGCTCTGAAGACGCATCACAAAGTTCCGACGATGGTTCGCTGAGCACCCTAGAGATGTAGATCTGACATAGAGCGGAGATTTCATCCATGGATCAGACGTTTTCTGGACCGAGGTATGTCGTCCGCCAGTGGATTAACCTGAAATCCTAGGCATTTCTTTTTGTCATGATTGATTACAGAAATTTGTCCAAGTCATTTTTGCTGTAAGGAGGTGGCTCGGAGTGTTAAACGAGATTCAGGCTGCGTTCAGACTTTGCGATGACGTGCGTTAACGCAGTCATGGAAGGGTCGACGGGCCGCTAGTGTTTTAGGAGAGTCTAGGAGAATATGAGAGAGATAGTGCAATCAGGCGTCATAAAATAAATGGCTTGCGGTGCGATCGAAACAGCAGCATTACTATTTATAACGACTGAACACATTCTCTGATAGAATCGCACCTGCACACTCTCCCAAAACATTAGGGCAGGCGTCGAACAATACCTGCCATCTGCGGCTTAGGTTGCGTTTAAATGCCTCACCGCGAAGTCCGAACGCGGCTTTATAGATGATAACTCACCGTAGATGGGTCGAAAAACTCCAATACTTTGAGAAACACCATATTTATAAGGGACACGGTTATATAAAGTATTCCAAACCCAATGCCCAGATCCGCATACCTGTTAATGTGTGAGATTAGTAAGAACATATTTTTCATAGAGAGAAAGGGTCACAAATTACTTTTTGAGTCCGCAGCGCCACGGGGGTGTAGGATGTCGCATAGCATCCTTGTATACTACTTCTGTACGTTTTGCAACCTGAAGTTCACATGAAACATGAAGTGGGAACATATCGAGTAGGATCGGTGACCAGGTGCACTTGCAGAAACATGCACCTTTTTTGATGAGTTTTACTGTTATAACCTTTTTTATATTCATGAAAGCTTCGAATGACGAGAGAAAATGCTTCTAGAGAAACTCCTGTGCACCACCCAACTGCACAGTCCCGAAAAGGTTAGAAGAGTCTTATTAGTGAAAGTTCGTCGATGGAAGCAATCACCGGTCTTAATAATCATTCTGGTACTTCTTTAGTCGGAAATTAGGGCCGTTCCTGAGGGTACTGATTGATCTCTACAAATCATGTTTCAGCCATAATTTTCTTAATGATGTTTTTGGGTTGTAATAGTTGAAGCTTCACTCATGAGGAGCTGCTGTTTACAATGCGCCCATAAGTGGCTTGTCCTAGTTATACCCACGTAAATACATACCTTGCTTATTCCTCAGACGGAGCAGGCGTGGCATTTGGACATGGCACAGAATGTAAACAGCAACTCCTCATGAGTCGGGGCTATCCAACTACTACAACCGAAAAACATCATTAAGAAAATTATGGCTGAAACATGATTTGTAGAGATCAGTCAGTACCCTCAGGAACGGCCCTAATTTTCGACTAAAGCACAACTCATGAGCCACAAATCTTTGATATTCAATTCGTGGGATATTTCAGTTTGAGACAACTGTCTTCTTATCCTGTGCTGGACAGAGGTACAATCAGATCTGTGTCAAAACAAAAATATCTCTCAATATCTCTCTAAAAACCGAGCGAACGCACGCCCTACCGCATCTCAGGGATTTTGAGTGTATGTGGACAGAAGAAAACTGAAACCAAAAAGAATGCAAAATTTTGCGGCCCAAGGTGGAACCTTGCACCTAACCCTTGCTACACCAACGAGAGTCCACACGCCAAACATGCGATCGGCAACTTTGACTACTGGTGTGATATTTGCTCCCACTTGAGCAAGGAACACAAGCAATACCCCATTTGCGACCGTATTCCACCCTGATTCCAGAGGTTTTTTTAAGAACACCTCTTATTAAGGAACTGGTCAGCGCAGAGTGATTTGCAACGCAGGGCTTCTAGAGAAGCAATTCCCATAAATCTGGCACTTCATGGCAAGACAGAGCACGTCCTACCATCGGGGAGAACATTTGCAGAATACGCCCTCCCCGTCAAAGTTCCCATTCCGACACGCCCCTCTCCCCCTCCAAAAAACTGCCGTTGAGAGGGGGAGGGGATATACAATAGAGCGCTTCGAACAAGTTCTTACGACCTGCAATTTCAGGTGCGTATGGCGGTCCTAAATAAGAGCAGATTCATAGATAACACACCTTACTTCCTGCGGACGAAGGGGCGTGTCAGGCAGTATTGCGTGCCACGGCGCTAAACCGTTCTGTCGATTATTGAAGCGGGTATGCGATAACAATTGGTAGAAAATGAGAGATTGGAACGATATGATACAGTCTTGTTACTTGCCCGCTTCAATAACTGGTGGGAGGCGGGTTTAGCACGGCGCCAAATTCATCCCACCTAACACCCTTCGTTCGCAGCATACTAGGCTATCCGCTAGCCTCTTTCACTAAAGATTAGCAGGCAGTGTTTTGAAATATTAACCGCCACGGACCGGTTTTAAACGCTCGGAAGACATTACTGAAGACTCGCTAGATATGCGGTCGCACCACTGTTGATCGGGTAAGGTTCAGCAGACCCGAGCTATAGCAGCTAAGGAAGTATTACGGGATACTGGTGCCACAACCCAAATCACTCAAAGTGGCAACGTTGCAGCGAGTCAAGCCGTCCAACTACGAAGCGCTCGGTTAGCTTATGCGCAATATTGCGCCTTTTCGACCGAGTCTTTTTGAAGTCTACACCCAATCTTTCACCTAACCCTGAGGATGATTTGCAATAACAGGCAGCATCAACCCAGTGTATAACTGCTACAGTGCGAATGTTGTGTGAAAGTTGTAGGTAGAGAGAGAGAGGGAGAGGATGACGGCAGGAATGACCGGACGGAGAGAGGTCATCGGAGAGAGGTGAGAGCCGTGAAAAGGTAGAGAGAGAGAGATGGAGAGAGAGAGAGAGAGAGGGGAGAGAGAGAGAGAGAGAGAGAGAGAGAGAGAGAGAGAGAGAGAGAGAGAGAGAGGTATAGAAAAACAAGGAACTCGCGTACTCACATTCGGCCAGTAGTACATGTCCGAAACTGCCTTGTGCTTTTCAACAGGATCAATTAGCTGTTTCTTCTCTCTTTTATGGATGGCCTCAGAAAGTGCATCGACGAGCACTAAACGTAAACTCAAGAATGTGCAGGTAGAACTGAGTACGATAAAGATCTCACGTTCTGGAACTGGTTCCTCCAGTGCGATAAACTCTGCTGGAAGTACTTCCGGTATTCCTCCGACCTTTGTGGAAACAACATGGAGCCTTAATCACGAATGTAATTCAATAATATCGCACTATTTTTTCGGAAAATTTCAGCTCATACCCACAACTGGCGGCCTCCACAATGCTCATGCAGAACGCTTCCGTTAGGGATGTGTTAATGAAAATCTGAAACATATTTTGTATCTTCCAAATGATGGTATTTATATATGTGTGAAATCCGTATAGGGATTTCGATGCAGTTGACGTATTACCTCTGAATACAAACAGCTTTAAGCATCATGATTTGATCGATTACTGGTGATATAGTGTTGCTATTAAAATTGTATTTCTTAATAAACGATTCTTCTACTATTTGTGTTTACCTGTCCTTGAACCAGTACTTCTCGTACCATATCATGTGGAAGTGTCCCCATCAGAGTAACGCGGTTGTGCAAGTGATACTGCTCACGCATTTCTTCCAGCTCTAGTCTCTTTGGTCCATCTCCGCCAATAATGAATCGTACTTGAGGATGACGAGCACAGACCTTGCGAAAACAAATTTAGGAAGATTGATTGAGGTAAAGTAGACTATGCTGAAAATGGGAAACACATCCTGTTCGCTGCAGACGTCGAGGCCAGGGGGATGGATCGGGGCGGAGTCTAATTCGTTTTTCACCAATACATAGTTGAAGCGAGCAAGAGACAAGCTGTGTCAAGTCATTCGTATCAGTCATTCTCCACCGACTTTTGCTGCACACCCTCCAACAACTGAAAAGTAGCGGGTTGGAGGCGCGCCAAACCCAGCCTCCTCCCCCCCCCTCCTTCTGCGCAGCGAACAGGACTGTATGTGGCGCCCGTACATATGAGCAATACATAATGACTAATGATAATAATGAATTCCATTAGAAAGTGTCAAGCCAGCCGTTGAAGGGGGAGAATTCTATGAATGTTCGCGCGTTTTGTAGATGTTCTAATCGGAAGAAATTCTACCTTTGGAATGATTGCACACAGAAGATCCGCACCCTTCCTGTAGACCAGACGTCCCAAGAATATAATAGTAGTTGGATTCCCATAGAACTGTTTCGGATCCGGATAGAAAAGCCTGGTTTCGATGGCGTTCGGGATCGTGAACACCTTTCGTGGATCAAGCTTTCCACGAAGTACCGTGTTCTCCTTGCTTAAAAACGTAGCATTTAACTATTCAATAGGGACAATAAAGAACGGCGAACACACCTGGTGTACGATACGCATATCACTCTGTCAACGTTAGCCAAAGAATACTGAAGAACAAGTGTATTTGTAAGAATTGCCGAGGCATCAGCAAAACCGAACAGTGAATGATCGGTGAACACGGTTCTTATGCCCATCAACCAGCCATTGAACATAGCCTCATGGGCCATTGAGGAGAACGTCTAGATCGTACACACATGAGCTAATAAAATTGTGACTGGACGACAGGGTAACAAACCGAATGCCCATGTATAAGCTGAATCTTCTCACGGAGAAAGATTTTCCTCAGCCACGGCAAGCTGCCAATTATAGTGGCAAGGCTGCATCCATTGTAGACAACAAGAAAAGGAAGATAATAAACCTTGAAGTGCAGATTACTACATGGAAAACAACACAAATTTCGCTACTACGTGTAATCAACATACTTTCAACCCATTAGAAAGATAGCGTATTCCTCTTCTCTCACCATAAGCATGAGTGATGACGACTACCTAAAATAATGGCAAAGCTGTGCCGATTACAATTACTCGAAAACAAAAAATTTGCAAATGCTAGAAAACATGTGCCAAGGAAGCACACTGTTAGAGACTGACTGGCTGTAAAAGGGGCATTCGTAACAGTTGTTATGACTGAAAAAGTCAGAGCGCGCTCATGCACGGCTATCCAATGGCTTAGGCTGCGTTCATACTTTGCAGCAGCGTGGCACTGGATGCTGCCTCAATGTATGAACTCAGCTATAGATCGCACGATCGGATTGCCAAGAATGAACGTTGCGACGGCCGAGTTGCTAACGTGCGGCTTGGGCTGCGCCCTTGAACATAACACATCCCCTAGCTGGAGAAGAAAATTTGTGGATGAGGGTCGGGGAAATTCTAACCAACGCCAGGACGTGCCTGCATCTGCACCAGGACCCATCATCGTCACAAGAATCGCTTGGGAGGGAGGAGGGGGAGGCTTGTTTGCGCGTGTACTGAATCATGGCTGACTTCACTGCCATCACGTCTAGCAAGTCCACAGCACGATTTCGTCAGCCTCAGTAACATGAGTGTTCTCACTGCCATGCAGGTTTGCTGCAGTATATTCTTGTTCTACTAGCAACATTTTTGGCAAGAACGACGCAAAACGTAACGAAGTCCCAGCAGAGAGGTGGAAGTATTGATGGAGAAGTCTTTACAGATAGTTATCTCACCTTATGACCTAGTTCTAATAGACACTGTGCTAGGAAATAGATGTGCGTCTCAACTCCCCCAGCATTTGGGCAGAAGAAATCCGATACGAGCCTAGAATAAATAATAATATAGTCTAGTTCGCTGCGGATGAAGAGGCGTTCTAGGCGGTATGAGTTTGGCGCGGTGCCAAAGCCGTTATTCACCAGTGGTATCATATTGTTCCGTATCACTTGTTTTCTACCAATTGTTGTCGCGCACCCGCTTCAAAACTAGCAGAACGGGTTTGGCGCCGTAGCACTGCATGACACGCCCCTTCTTCCCCAGCGAACTAGAGTGCCAACATTCGTTTATAAATTTGAAAAAAGTGTGACGTACGCTATGTTAAAATGCTCCTTGGTCACAGAGGAGTCGGTCATTCCAACACAGATGTGAAACACTTTGCTACCTTGTCAACATTACTTTCGTTTCCTTGATACGAAGCCCGCGACTGCAATTATATCAGAAAATATTACAGTCACACAAGCAATTTAAAACAATTGTTCATGTGGTGAGTTACCAGTGAAGCTGAATAGAGCAAAAAGAATCTTAGAGAATGTTTCAATAGGACCTTTTTGACGCTGAAAAAGGGCGGCTTAAAGACACGACGTACGCTCAGCTGCGAGGTGCGTCTCCGGGGCTAACGACTCAACAGCTATCGGAGCGTGCGGTTTCCCCGTCGAACATGCGCGGGGACGGGGTTCAGGACCGTGGGATAGGCTAATTCCTCCATGCTCCGCCTAAAGTGCAACTTGCGGCGCAGACATGTTGTAATGTGTCAAGCACACCATCTTGGTAATATAAGGCAGCGTTCATACTTCGCGACAGCAGCGACGACCTCGGCGATCGCCGCGATCGTCGGTACATGGCAGAGCGCGCCCCAACGCTATTACTTGCGCTCCGAAGGCTTTTGGGAAGAAGCGACTCAATTTCATGCTTTTTTTCCTTTAACTGCAATTTTCTTAGATACTGAAGCTTGGTTTGACACAAAGAAAGGTGAACCCAACTTAATGGCTTTTGTTTTCTCTTTCTTGATTCAGGATAGAAATGAGCAAAAAGCGTGAGAGCTTCATTTAGGGTAGGTTTTTATTGTTTCTTTTTCATTCGTCGAGCTTATACATGAGGTTATAAAGTTTTCACCTGTTGATGTTGCGTAAAATGATTGGTGTTTTGGTTCCTAGGTGAGTTTCTTTCTGTTTCTTTTTTTTCTTCGTTGTTTGAACTCGACTTGTAAACTATAAATGTTTTGGAAGTTGGAACAGTTCAGACGATAGGAATTTTGAGGCGCTTGCATAAATTGAAACAATAAAAACAAAAGAAACAAAAGAAGCTCACCCAGGAAATGGAGTTGGCCTTATCCCGACCTAAAAAAAGTGAAACCTCCTTACCTCATATTCCAGATCCGCTTATGTATAGAAAGTCGTAAGTTATCAGTTAGTAGCCATTATTAAGAGAAAAGAAGGTCTCACAAGTTGGATTTCCTTATTTATCAAGCGAGCAGTCCATAATAGCGTTGGGGCGCGCTCTGCCACGTACCGACGATCGCGGCGATCGCCGCTGCTGTCGCGAAGTATGAACGCTGCCTAAGCACTAAACGATTATGAATGTGAATTCGTAATACTCAAATCTCACTCTGAGTTCAACTCCATCGATGAGCTGTTTTATGTCACTGACTCTACGCTTACGACTCCTCCTACCCCCCCCCCCTCATGACCAGATATTACTCCTGATGGTATTCTCCCGAGTTACAGGCTCCATCCGCACAATTTCTCATGCGTTTCTGCTAGCATATTCGGCGTTGGATAAATTAAAATGTGGAGCTTGAAACCTATCGCAACACTGTCGTTTTGGACAAGCCGAGCCGTGCTGAACTAGCCGATAACTCACGATATTGCGCCGACGGTGTGGTAGCGATGAGCTCATCATCTCGTCTCCTGCTAGTTTTTATTTAGATTTATCACGCGTTTTCGACTCCTTTTTTACTAATTCAAATCAGCATTTTGGATATATTCCTTCCAGAACGAACCTGTTTTAAAACGTTTATGAAGCCCAATGCACCCTACCACCAGTTTCCTTGAAATCGCGCCACACAAACAAGCATTCACCTCCTGAACTGGAGTGTGTGACCAGACAATCGTAGTACGCTGCGATGGGCGTCACAAACGACGCCGCGCGCGGAGAAGAGACGAGTTGTCCTGACCGACCAAAAGGGTATAGATGTTGAAGAGAAAGAGAAGAAAGAGTCACTCTGCATTGAATTTTGCTCTCTACACATGAGTGTTGCTTTTGCTGGTCCGATCTACAAACGAATGCGCATCGAGGATGTGCCGCGCAGAGCGGCACACGCGCCCGCGTGACAGAAGTAGATTACGATTGTCTTTGTGCACTGCCCCCTCTCCTCAAACTACAAGGGTGATATGCAAAAGCTCCATGGCAGCATACTGATCGTATTCGTGAGCAGCGGCAGCGAATACTCTACGAACGCAGTCATGGCCATGGTTCTTCGATGTGGGTTCATTTTAATGAATTAGCGCCTCTCACACTTTCGCACATCACCATGAATCTTGTCTGATGACTAAAGCTGGGATATTTCATCGCAACCTCCCATTTTTATTGAATGGACACTGAGCTGTACTCAAAACAACCATGATGAGTAGTCCATTCCACAGCAGGTTACTGTAGCTAGTAACCGGTGTTTACAAAGGGACAGCCAGCGTATAAAATAACTTAATATATTAATAACGATTACTAAGGTACTCATAAAGTATCATTTGGAATAAACTGCAATGAGCAGCAGCTTAAAAAGAATGAATGCGTCGCCAAATCATAACCGGGGACTGATTTCGGTGCTGCCTGTGACTAGGCGTCTTTTCGCTTGTGTTAGCCGCAATCTCACTTTCTTCAAGTCCCGTGGCATGGTCGATAGAACAAACAACCGAGGCGGTTGTCGTCTTGTTCAAGTCGTCAGTCCTTATTCAATTTGGATTCCTTCGTGAGTTCCCTGTGTATTCTTCGTTCTGCTGGAAGCTCCATTCACTGCGCTTGAGGCTCTTTTCCTTTGGCCCATTTTACAGCGACAGCATTGATCGTGTAGATGGGGATCGCCGGGTGCTCTTCGCATGTGAATCAATAGTGTTTCGCGGTTGTTTAATGATGAGTGTTGTTTCTGTTCGATGGTGTTCGAGAGCGACAATCCAACCGTTTTCCCCCACGCTTCCAACTGCTTCCCGTTCTCAAACAAGTAGGTCTTCACCTCGTCATCACAGCTGATATATTTAGTGGTTTGAGCGCTGATCCTAGATAGGATGCTGAGGAATGGATGTAGATGTTGAAAAATATTCTGGAAAACAATGAAAGCAGTAAGGAGTTGACAGTGAGATTGTTCGGCTCGTCATAGTCATAACGATTGCACAGTCATCCCTTTACAACAGCTGATGATCTGAAGTAAACAAGTCAATTGCTTACTCAGAGCTCAAAGCTTTCCTAGACTTTACTGACTGCTATATGAATGAGAGCGTGGAAGCTTTCCAGAGATTATATGCTGTTCAAGTATTCCCAATTAAAGGCACACCCCACCCGCTTCGCCAGATTGTAGGTGTCCTTGTCCAAATAATGTCGCTCTCAATCTCTGAGATTATTCTTTTTTGACTTCATAGTGAGCAGCAAAGGCACTGTACCTCATTGTGGCAGTCCTGACACCCCCCCCCCTAACCGCTCGCACCAATTCAAAGGCTATTTTCTGTCACGAGTTCAGTTTTTGCAAAGTGTTTTTCGTTTTTTTCCTCACTGTTAGATGGTGTTAGCATTGGATGACGCGAAGAAACGATTAGTGAGCAGAGGTGGCAGGATATCGCTTTTCTGGTATAAGAGGAGCAGGTCCGGAGGACTGGTCCAAAGAGGCAGCCAGGGGTCCTAGCTTAGGGTGTTCTCCCTGTTTTGTTTTTTGCTTTTTTCTCCGCTGGAGAGTCATTTAGCGAGCTTAGGATCGTAAATGAGTGTCCCTATCCGTAATGTACAATCGCGGGGTTTGTCCTTGAGTGGTACCCATGCAATAAGCATAATGAAGGGGACGTTTAATTTCAGGACTTTTTGCATGTACCCGATGTTCCTAGTCTGTTTATGGCTAAAAACTGGTGGAATTTTCGACGGAGTATGTGCTCAGAGAAGTCATAATCCGCCCACTATAGGGAAAGTACCACTGAATTGAGCGCATTTCACTGCAGTTATTATATTCCCACAATCAACTCAAGCTTGATCGCTTGATTTGGGCCGAATGGAAGGGTGGTATAAGTTCATTCCATTCTTCACCATTTCCTCTAGAAAATGGTTTTTTGACACAGTCAGCTTTTTTTCTGGTCTTTGGGTAACTGGCAAGACAATCATAAAATGCAGTCGTAATATGCCGCGTTGGTGGGCGTGGCGAGCGACGCCGCGCAAGACGAACGAGTTGCCCTGTCTGGTCGTTTTGATTCGGCTCTAAATTGACGATAAATTTGGGCACTATTCAACTATTACTACTACAAGAAGATTTTTGCTGAAACTTTGCACACAGAGGTAATTCTGTGTTCTGGTCACGAACAGGCACTCATTTTCGTGCTGGCGCCAATTGGCGCTGCCACTTTTCTCACCAAACTCGATGTAAATTTGCATAGGGGTTACTTGATGCCCTGGTCGCGAATACCACCACGTTAGTTTTCAGCCTTGGCGCCCGCGCCTGCCTGGCGCGGGCGCCAGGCAGCTCCGGGCGGAGCGGATGTAATATTCGTATTCAGGAGGTCAGCCTACTCCTGGGGACAACTTTGCAGCAGATTCAGTGGTTTAGGGTTCTTTGCGCCGACTCCTGTAACGCGTGCACCAGGAAGTCCCGGGCCAAGTGGATATGATATTCCTGTTCAGGAGGTCGAATTACCCCCCGAACCCAACTCTCAGCCAAATCTGGTCCCGAAAAAGGTCGATCAAAATCCGACCTGTTTTTGGAAAATTGGGGTAGTTATAGTTCGAGTGGTGCCGAAATTCTGATATCGCCCATCAGAAAGTCGTACCTCCTTTTGAATTCATAAGTTTTGCTGCTCCAATCGACGAACTGATGCATTTTCCTCGCAACGCGCGGCGTACAACGACGCCGCAATTTACAATTGTCTTGATCGTCTCCCTGGTTTTTCAGTCAGATTTCTATATCATCTTTCATTTGTTAGCCCCTGGGCGGTTCCGTGCAGGATGCTCCATTGTTAGATGGACAACGTGAATTGCCATTTATTCAGTTCGTTTCAACAGCTGTCTCGTGTCGAAGTTGGAAACGAAGCGTTGAATACTTAATGCTGCTAATACCGACTATTTTCAGGACTGCCTTGTTTGTTCTGTACAATGCCGATCGAAGCTTTAACCCATTTTGCCAAAGTGCTTCGGATCACTCCAGAAACGTTCGAAGAGGTGGTAGAAGCGGCCGCAGACGTTCTTCTTCGCGGAGGAATTGTGGCTCTTCCAACGGACACCATTTATGGCGTTTCGACGCTCATCGAGCACTCCCAGAAGTTGTATTCGCTTAAGCAACGGCCAGCTGATAAGCCGTTGGGACTGTTTCTCGCTGATCCGGTTGATATCCCCCTATGGGCACGTCTGACCATATCTCCGCATCTCACTCAACAACTCCTCCCCGGTCCGGTGACTTTGATTTTCAACCGGTTGCCTTCACTCCCTGCATATTTCAATGTGGACAGAGCAGACGTTGGTATACGCGTACCGGCTTCGCCTTTAGTTCGAGCACTTACATCTCGTCTTGGTCAGCCTCTTGCTCAGACTTCAGCAAATGTAAGTGGTTCTACAGCAAATCCGACGTGTGTGGCAGATTTTGGCAACCTTTGTCTGAAATCGACTTAGTGCTCGATGGAGGAATAATTGGAAGGCCTTCCCTTGATGAACCATCATCGTCTAACGAAGGAAGCACTATAGTCGATTTAACCAGAGAAAACTTCTACCGAGTCGTGCGTGAAGGTTGTGCTTTGAAACGCACGGAAGAGCTACTCAGACAAGCGGGAATTAAACCGTTTTGAAAAGCTCTGCATTTGTGCTAGGAGACGGTCAAGACAGTCGTAATTTGCCGTTCCGTCGCGCGCGACATGGGCGCGGCGTTCTCTTAATTTATACTACCTTGTCGACGGGACATAGAATTGGATGTAGACTACGATATTGTAGGCACTTATGGCTATTTTTGGTTACACATTGCCTACTATCGCCAACCACTGCCCAGAAGCATCACTTTGCGGTCGCACGAGACGTCTACGAGCGCGGCAGCTTGCGATTGTCCTGTCATATACCCTTTTGTAGTGGACTACCTCATCTATTTCGTCGTTTGTGTACGTTTCAAAAAGAGACTAAAGACCAGTAATTGTTAATAGGTAACCAGAGAAGAACATTTTCATTCAAAGCTCGTCTTTGAGTCTGGCGCTTTATGTAGCTATATTTTATTTCGTTATTTTATCATCACCTACTTTTCTATTAACTCAGCTCTATGCGAGTCGAAGGAATTCTCTTTAACGAACTCTCGTTGCTGTTTATTGTCTCATATCATACATTTTTCACTCCACAATTTAATATCGTTGTTGTTTCTTTGCCCTATGTTTATTGTTGAAAAATAAAGTTTGCAGAATATGAAACGGAAGGCTGAACCGGATGCGGAAGATATGGCTTCGTCCAAAGGACCATCGACATCGAAAAAACTGGCACCTGACGCTAATAACGATTTTATAAACGAAACGGTTAGTTTCCGCTTGATCATGTTTGTTTCTTTTTTCACACATTCACTGTCTTCTTCGTGAAATGACTACATTTTCTATACATAAAAATGAAAATTTCGCAATAAATAGTAAGTACGTCACCACTGTTAGAGTGGTTCAATGCTTTGCGTTAGCGCTTCAGGCGATTAGAAAAGTATAGCGTTTTGAGCGGAGAGTGTAGATATCGATCACCACTGGAGAAGCCAGGGACGCTCATAACACGGATCGACACCAGTATTTTCCCTATTGTTTGGAGCTCTGACACACTCAATGTGCTGCCGCGTAGTTACAGCTGCGTAACAAAGAAGTATGTGTGGACACTCAATTTTTGTCTTGCAAAATTGCCTCACTGAAATTTTGCGATATTGGGGACTTTACTGTGAATTCTCATGAGCGAAAACATAGGAAAACATACTCTTTTAAAGGACTTTTGTGACTACGCTTGAAACAAGTATTTATCTGTTTGAAAAGTTTTAATAACAAAGATATGTGGACAGCTCAACAAAAAAACAGAATGTTATCTTGGAAAATTAGAAGTATTCTTCTCCAGTGTTCACTATATTCGAACATTCTGTCCGGCATGCTGTGGACAAGATTTGTCATGGTGTCTTCGTCGATTTCCTCCCATGCAGCAACTATTGCCTCCTTCAAGTCTCGCACGCTGTTGTACTGCCCACTGTTCATGTAGATTCGTCGAACCATGATTCCCCACAGGATTTCGGTTGGGTTGCAGTCAGGAGACACGCCGGCCAATCAATCACTTTGATACCATTGCGTTGGAGCCATTTTCTAGTAGAATTTGAAACATGCACGGCGGCGTTGTCCTGCTGCATCACATGTGTCCTGCGTCGTAACCCGCTCAGAAAAGGCAAGAGGTTAGACTCAAGCACTACTTGCTATTCCTCACTGCTCATACAGCATATTGTCATTTTTGAGACCTTTAGATTCATCGCGGCATGGATCTGTGCCACAGAAAGCGGGGAGTTTGAGGCTATTCTTCTGATGTCTTTTGCGGACAAAGATCGTGGGTGCCTCGAAACAGGTACTGAGTGGTAGCCATCAGGATTCTGGAGGTATATACCAACGCACGTCGCCGAAAGTCCAAGCTATCTTGCAATTTCTCTATTCGAGTGTCCTGCGCACTGAGAGCTCGAATCTGCGATTGTTCGTCTTCGGAGAGAGTACTGCCACGACGAGGCATGAGTACAGATTAATGGGGAGCAGAGACGATAGATATGGGTTGCAGATTTGGAGTCAAACTTGAACTTTCTCAGGTGTCCACATACTTTTGTTATTAAGAAATTTTTTCAAAACAATAAATAATTGTACAGTAGTTCACAATGTATTCAGAAGTAGTGCATTCCTATACTTTCGCTTATGAGAATCTAACAGTGATGGTCTCAGATCGCAAAATCCAAATGCAACTTCGCAAAATCAAAATTTGAGGTGTCCACATACTTTTGTTACGCACTGTATGGTACGCACTCTTATGGCTGACGAAAGAATGTTAGTGATGGTTGAAAGGTGAACCTGCACATATATCACCTTCCCGATCTGTACCGGATTAGTTTTTTTCGCCTCAAAATTACAGGCTACTTGGAAATTGTTGCGCTATACTCCGTATTGCTATCTCAGCTTCTAGAAGCGTCCTTTTCATAATTGAATTCTCTTCTTTTTGTTGGGCGGTTCCTTCTAGTGGGAAGGGAATTCAAGGTTCTAAAGAAGATTTTGACTTTTGACTCTATTGAACCTTGCCATAAATGCCGCCCCTCGTTCGAAAATGGTGAAATGTGCTTAAAAATATAAAAAATAGAAAAAAAATAAAATAGTAATGAAAAAAGTGGGAAATAATGCAGAAAAAAAAGAAAACGCCCATGTAAGGGCCCATGCTGAACCACGCTTGTATGTGCATAATGCGAAGAAAGAGGCCATGGCTAGACGAGTTCCCACTTGCTGGTGTCAACCCTTTCCCCTCTTCTCCTCATCTCGCCACTTGAAACGGAGGGAGTTAGTAGCGGGACATCCGCACCATTAGGCGGCAGATGAAAATGAATGTTGGGCCTCGCCATGGTCAGTGGGCGGAGACGCAGCTCTATCGCGAGCGGGCTTCGTTTTTTTTCGAACCTCAAGTGAAACGGGGCGTGCTTTTGAATCATCCGTTTTTCTTTTCATGATGCAGAGCTCTGAAATCGAAATCTTGATGCTTACGTCATTCAAGCTGCCTCTTGAAGACAAGTTGTGCATTTGAACGTGAGGGAATAACCTTATCTCCAATTTTGTAAAAGAACGCAATTTTATTTGATGTCAGCTTGGGAGCCATTTAGGTCGAAACCCTGGTAGAAGGTCTATAGCGAACATGTCTCTCTCTCTCAACAATTTTGACCAGAAGTTTCATCATTATTTGCTGGAGATATATTATTACTTATATAGGGGTTTTGGTAACATTTCGATGACAACGATTTTGAGCGCCGTTTTAGAGTCGACGAGCACGCGGCAACTGGGCTTGCCTCGCCGAGAAGATGCGACGGTCCACCCGGCCGCCGCGTCGCGCGAAGAAGTCCGACCGCAGCCTTCGCTCCACATTACGCCTTTTCTCGATGACGTCATCGGATTCAGAAGCAGAAGACGATGTGTACTCGTTGTGTGTGCGTGACTCACCATTTTGCATTGACATAGCTCTGCCGGAGGACCGGACTTCACTTCGTCATATATCAGGATTTGACAACACTGGCAATGTGCGCATATGGCCTGGAGGTGAGGCTCTCGCCTATTACTTGTCGATCCGACCACCACTAGTGTCGGGGAAATTGGTGCTGGAACTAGGAGCAGGGCTTGTTGGACTTCCGGGTTTTATTGCTGCCATATATGCAACACGGGTCAGAATTACGGATGGCAATGAGCATTCCGTAGCGTCATTGAGGGATATAGCGAAACGAAACCCTCTTCCAAATGTGGAAATCGAGCAGTTGAGGTGGGGAGTTGGAACTGAGGAGAGAAAGTTTGACTTAATTCTAGCCGCAGATTGTGTATTTTTTTCAGAATATTACGGAGATTTGGTAAATACTTTTGATAGGTTTCTTGTCCAAAAAGGTGTTGTATATGTTTGCAGTCCTAAACGAAAGGGTAGCTTGGATCGATTTATTGAATTCGTAGAGGATGACAACAGATTCACATGCGAATTTATCTCTGAGTTTGACTATATTATGGATGATTTGTGTATTCTTAAAGATGAGCAAAGAGATGCTGAATTACCGTATTTATTATCGCTCAAGCGTTGCCTACCGGATGACACGGCCAAGTAACATTTACTAGTAGTGCTGCCTTCTTTTGTTTTTGTTTTTGTTATTGTTGACTGAATAAAGTATATTTCCTGCGCGATCATTGTCGTTTCTGGAAGAAGACGTTGTATGCGCATCTCTTTGACTATCTAAAACGTGTTTTGCTTCAAGTACACTTTGCAGAATTGTTCATGTAATTGCAGGAACTTCAAAAATCTATACAGGTTTCCGTACTGAAATCTGCAGATGACGTCTGTGAAGAAATTAGGACACAAGGAGGTCAGTGAGGAAAATGCTGTTCTGAATCTGTGCGGTTCAATGCTTAGCAAGGCGGTATTGATTTCATAATGCTAGATTGAGCGGTTGTTTCTGGTATAATGCTGCGTTCCGTTTTTGGCAGAGTCCACCAGAGGCCACCAGCGTTTCGAGGACCGTCAACACCAGCGACCAGGAAAGAATGGATATCGATCTAGCGAGCAGCAGCTTCCATAAGTTGAGAGTACGGGGAAGTAGGAGGATGGCAGACAGGTGGATTAGGCGTCGTGCACTTGCAACCGCACCTTACTACTACACAATACCGTATTGCATTGCTTTAGCAGGTACGGTGCGGCTGAACACGCCGCAATTCCACGATCCTATTCCACCTGCCTGCCGCCCTTCTACTTCCCCATACTCAAAGCTCTTGGACGCCTCTGGGCGCTGGTGGATGCTGCCGCAAAGTGTGAAGCAGCCTTATGCTGTGCATTTCTTGAGAATTACCTGGATTGTCGCTTATTCAGGAAGAGTACAGTTTGATCCGGAAGTTGTTGCTCACGTGAGCGCGTTGGTCTGGGATACAGTCAGCGATGAATGGACCTCCGATCTGCTAGCATTTTCCAGGTATAATACCCATACTACAGTACCTATCACATATAGTAACCTTCCCTTTGATTGTTTTTTTAAAACATTCTATGTCTTTAGTATGTTTTCCTAGTAGCGGTTGTTATAAAGCAAGTTGGGTAGCGTCCACGGTCGCATGCATCACCGCAGCGTAAGCTTACTGTTTTGACCCCCTCCGTCTTCTAGACGGACTGCGACTTACTTCTTCTAAAATTCGTTTTTATTTTAAAGACAAAAGGGAACGTATTTATGTTCCATGTTTACTGTTTGCTGATTTCCCCCATTTCAGGCACATTACGTATCCCTCTTCCCACTGGGTATTAGTGAAAGAATGAATTTATTACACACTTAGCTTGAAGTACTTAGCAGCAGAGTGGTAAGAATGAAGGGAAAGTAAGGCAGTGTAATAAGGAAAAATAATTCTTGATGATCTCTTTCTTTCAATTTAGGGACAGAGTACAATCTTGCCATCCGGGGAAGTAGTGCGTGCTCACTGTCGATGACGCCAGTTTGGCTGGGATACCCAGTCATGCGATGAAAAATCATGGACTCCGATTGCTAGCAATCATTTCAGGCTATACATACCATACTACAATACCTATCAACACATATAGTAATTCCTTCCCGTTTCGATTGTTCTCTTTTTACATTCTAAGTCTTTAGTATGTTCTAACTATCGGCTATGCTTTATAAAGCGCAAGTTGGGTAGCGTCCACTGGGCGCATTCGCACTACGAGTAAGGAACTTTAGCGCCTTACTCCCCAGCGTAAGTCTATACACTGTTACTTGGACCCTCCTCTTCTAGATGGGACTGCGACTTCATTTTTCTAAAATTCGTTTTTTATTTTTAAGAAAAAGGGAACGTATTTATATCTTCCAGTGGTTTACATGTTTTGCCGTGAATTTCCCCCACTTTCAGGCACATACACGTTATCCCTCTGTCCCACCTGCGGTATAGTGAAAGAATGAATTTATTACACCACTTAGCTTGAAGTACTTAGCAGCAGAGTGGTAAGAATGAAGGGAAAGTAAGGCAGTGTAATAAGGAAAAATAATTTCTGATCTCTCTTTATCAATTGATATAGCAACTCAGCCGTCAGCAATGTCCTTGTCACTAAAACTGTAATTTGCTAGTTTGGCAGCTGTACAACTTTGAATAAGTATTACGGCGGCAACACTCCCTATCAGCCACTGTCAGCTGTTACCCCTTTCCGTCGCCCATTAGTGGTATACCCGTCGCAACCCTTATATCACCGTCAGGTCCAACTTCTTGCTATCGCTGTGATGCGCGTTATGAATCAGATGACTCTTGAGTTCCAGTTTTCCTTTACCAGATCTTATCAGTTCTTTATACTTCCTGTTGCCCATCAATGATATACCTGTCGCATCCCCAGCTTGACCTGGGAGCCAGCGCCTCAGTATTGCGGGCACCGGCGTTGTCAGACACACGCACGCACGCACGCACGCACAAACTTGGCAAAGTGTATTTGTAGGATGGGTGTGGTAGCTTTCTTTCAGTAGTTTATTGTCATCGCCAACATTTCGTCAGTAGCAAACTCCCTCTCTCTTGCAGACATGGTGGGCGTGAGACAGTGACTGTTTCCGATGCAGCTTTAATTCTGAGGAGAAATCGGCGTTTGGTACGTACATCAAGTCACCAAATCTGGTGTTCCATAAGATGGATACGAACTTTTAATTTTTAATTTCAGCTTGAGGCGTTGTCAGCGACAGCCGACATCGACATTGGTGAATACGAACGTCCGCTTACGAAACGACAACGCGTTAACAAAGAATCCAAGATAAAGCGTGGCAACAGATGTGAGGCCGGTAAATCAGGTAGTCTAGTGGGCATTCTATCGTCGAATAAATTGGTGACAGTGTCCGCAACTGGTTGTGGGCGTGACTTTACCTTGGTCGCTAATGGGTTACGGAGTATGGTTGCATCGAGAAAACATTCTCAGGTGATGGGGGACAATTGTCAGAAGTAAGATCGAAGCCTGTTCTGTCATCTAGGGCTATTGGTGCCAAATGCGAACCAGAAAACGAAGAAGAGCTCGCGCTCAGAAACATCGATGAAGTAAGTTGTTCCACGATACCACTTGTAGACTGGTGGGAGATTAAGGTAACAGAAGAAACCTTTTGTAGGGGAAAGCTGAAGGCGATATTATTGTTGAGGAAGCTCCTATCGCGAAACCATCAACGTCGAATCATAAGCCCGCCGATACAGAAGATGATCGAAAGGTTTGATTCTTTACTTCAAAATGCAAATTGTTAGCTTTTTCGTTTAAACAGGACCATGCATAAATAAAAATCTATAATAGGAGTCTTTTTAAACGTCTGTGATTCGGCAGCTGTCGTTTGTGTACTCACTGTGACGTTGAAAAGCTTGACGTCGAAGACGGACCCCTCCATTGCATATTGCAACTGGTGGCGTTCAGTAACGAAACTGTAATCGTTAAAATTCTCTTCAAAGTAAAAAAAATGCTAAAAGACGAATTATGGAGAATCTGACAAGGGAGGTCGTTCAGGGCGTGGTGCGCTTTTCGAAAACGGTTTTTTGCATATTGTAGGGGCTCATGCAAGGACCTGAAAAGTGTGCTTCATTTTCGCTGCGCGCTTCCAGGAAAGGTAAAAAACGAGTGAAAAGAAATCTTTGGAATCTGCTTCGTTCTGGGCCTAGGTCACTTGCAACTTTGACCAGTTGCTGAGTGGGGGGTCCTTATAAAGGGGCTATTTGAATCGAAGCGAAAAATCGCCGCAAGTGAGCTTCCAACTTGGGTCATGTGCTCAAGGGTGAACGGCTTCTTGCGGTTTCATCAACGATAAGAGCGCTAGCAGAGTCGAGCATCGGATGGCCTAGCGGATAGAGTGGAGGTTTCGCAATCGGACAGTGAGGGTGGGGTTGATGGTTCGGCTCCCCTTGCGTCGTGGCTTTTTGCATTTTTTAGATTTCGCTGTTCTCGCTTCCATTAGTGTCTGCGCATGAATATAACTCGGATATTTGCCATTTATGGGCACATTCTGAGTAGCTGTACCTCATGAGTCAGTGCTATTCAACTATTTCGATTTTCACGCACCATTGAACAAGATTGTTGCTGGACGTTGATCCTCATAGGCTATACAGTGGATCTGATTGCGAATTTAGTAACTTCTGGTGTGGTGTCAATTATAGACAATTTGGGGCCACATCTTCTTTCCACTGAATTCGTTATGTACACCAATATAGGGAACGTTCAGCGCTATTCTGTCGCCAAATTGCGTGGACGCCAAGAATAGGTGTTATATTTGTGATCAGGGCCACTGATTACCACTAAAAACGAATTTTCGGTCAAAACAACTGTACGACCTCCCTTGTGAGTGAAGTCCGGGCGACCTTCCAGACTTACTTTTGCCAGCAAAGCGATAAATCTTTGCATCATACAATGCTGATACCATCTAACAGTGAAAAGGAAAAACATGGTGTAGAACTGAACTCGTGACAGAAAATAGCCTTTGAGTTTCGTTGGGCGCGACAAGTATGAAGGTATCAGAACTGCCATTTATAACGGGGACCGCGCTCCGTTATGTACTGTGGCCGCGGAAAAGGAGCAGTCTTAGAGATTAGAGCCGGTCACTTCACAAAGGAAGACGCCCGCAAATCGCTTGAGGTTGGGACTGTCTTTATATGAGGAGTAGACGTCTGTTGATGCTCCACTCGGTAGCCGCTTTGTCAATCAGAAAGTCTCTGTGTTTTCATCTTCTCTATTTTCCTTGTTTCAAGATACGTCAAACACCCTTCATTCGTTCAGCATTTCGACGAAGTCACCCTTTTTGTCAATGGCCACGATGACGGTGTAAGGGCTAGCGCTCAAGTCACTACTTCTGGAGAGGGTGCTGCTGGTCGTGAGGTAAGAAATGCCTGCGGAGTCGAGCTGAAGTCGTCATGCTGCGCGGCTCGAGCGATTAATTCGCGCGACGGCGTTGTACCCAACTCCATCGCCGATCTTTGGACCGCTTCAACTGTCGAATTTATTGGACTGGAAATCCAATTGCAGCCGTCACAACTAGTTGATGAGAGGTAACAGCATCGTACTCATCGGATCGCAGCATCGTACCATCGAATCGAAAGGAGAGAAACTACTGTCCCAAATGAGTGCTTGAAGGGTTCGATGCATCATAATATGGAACTAGATGGTCCGCTTGAGATCGGGCCAATACTGACAAGCATTCCGTTAGCCAAAAAATTCGAAGATCAGCCATCATTAGGAGTAGGGGTTGGTTTTACCAATTATTGAAGCCGTTGTTAGCTCTTACCATTAGAGGTGAAGAACTCTATGTCAGAGTTGACCGTAGATGAGAATGCAGATCAACAGGTGAACAGTGAACAGAAACTGCGGAAGCCAGCGAACTAGCAAAATGTTCCTGCCCTTGCTTTAACCGTCGGAAAATGTTATCCATAAAAGAACTGTTTCGGCAAACACTCTTGCCCACTACTGTATATATGTGATTTTGCGTTGAAAAGTATTCTAGGTTGACTTCTTTAGCTCGGTCTTGGGCGTCTATATATCGGGTACAAGGATTGAAAAATATTTTCAGAATGTCTGCGAAGCGTCTTCCTATATGGGAGTTTGTAGCCCGAAAGCCTCTACTACAAAATCACCTAGCCCGGACCTTTTCAGTACACCTTTGAAACGTGGCCTTGATGAAGGTTAATTTTTTCTAATATTGATGTACTTATTTTGCAATGCATCGCTTTTGAGGGAGCGCGTCAGTCGATCATCTCGATATATGTGCGCCAACGGATCCGGTCAGCTCTTGTCAAGCGCTAAAGCCTGAATGTAACCGAGAGTCTGTCAAAAATATTGAAGCAAGAAGCAGGAAGGTCGAGGAGGGATGGTCAGCAAGTGAGTTGTTTCTCGAAAGAATACTGGGTGCTGTTCGGTTTGCGGAGGTGGGTCTAGTGCTTACTTCTGTTGGGCTATATGATGCTCCACCTTCATTCCCTATTTACCACCACGATTTCTCTCATTGCGCTGTACTTGTATCTCATTGTCAAACTTTACCTCTTTTTCCAGAATTCTCTGAGTTCTCCTTCTTTGACAATGTGACCAAGGATGCTCCAATGTCAACATGTGTAAAAGGTGGGGTCATTGAAAGCACCACATTCTTGGGTACGTGCGAGGCTGTGGTGAATATAAGTGGCAGCATGCTCCCCCTGCCGGACTTCTCGTAATCTGACATCTAAAATGTTCTTGGTTAGTAAATTGCTTTTATTGGTAGCCAATTCTCTAGCAGTTATGGCATCCGTGTGTTTGTTAGTAATTTGTGGACCAGACTTTGGAAGAGCTAAGACCCCGCATCCTCCAGTCGCTTTTTTCAAAAAAATCAGCGTTTCGGCCATAACCTAGCCTTAATTCGTGGTGAAATTTGCGTTGCTAACTGATACGAAAACATCATTGAAAGGCACGCGCTGCGTTCATTCTGCGCAAACGGCTTTACGTGAACATGGTAGTCCAGTCAGCAAGCATGGAGAAAGCACTACTCTCGCAGCTCAAAGATACATCGGGAAAGCACCATCCGCTGAGAGCGCAGCTCCGCCCACTGGCCACGGTAACGCCCAACTTTCATGTTTAATTGCCGCCTGATAGTAGTTGTCCTGTTACTAACTCTCTCCATTTCGAATGGTGATAGGGGAAGGATGAAGCGAAAGGTGACACCACCATGTGAAATTTCGTGCCAACAGCCCTTCTTCGTCCAACAATCGTACAAGGCTTAGCATGGGGCTCTATATAGATCATTTCCGGCGGACTTTTTCTGCTTTTTTTCTTCATTCCTGTTTCAGTTATTATCGTATCATTGGTATACTTGAGCCGCACGACACTTGCCCTCAACAAATCAGAATCGTCATCTCACAAGTCAGCATGACTTTCACTCTTTTCAGAGGCACCACGAAAGCCTTCACAACGACCACCTCGTGAGTTGACAAGCGATAGGCGAAGTCCCATTGTTTCAACAACACCGAAACAGAATTCTTCAACTACCTCTCGGTTGAGATGCGCTCGAACACCTGGCAGCAGTGGCAGTGGTGCGTCAAAGACTCCACAAGAAAGGTCTGTGGCCGTATCTACGTCGTGGTCTTTAAATTCCAGTTCATCGAAGAAAACCACACAGAGGTTTGCCTCTACTTTTATTGCCTGATTTCTGCTGTTTATTTACTTCTGTTACTGAGAGGACTCAACAGGCAATTGATTTTGTCAGATAGACAGCTTTTATAAAAATGTTAGAAAGTAATCACCTCGCTTTAGGAATACGATTCCTTCTAATTACCAGCGGAACTTTTAACACATAAGAATTCTTGACGCAGTTCGGCCTAGGGGAAATGTAGTTTCGCATCATGCATTTATACAAACGATATGACTGAAACGCTGCGAAGCGATTGCAGTAAAGCGGATGACATAGAAAGGAAACTGGAATAATTTTTTAACCGTTATTTCCTTCTTGCCGTTGCCGTATCATGGTCGTATCATAAGCTCAACATGAATTTCCCTCCTACGCCCAACGTGCCACATTTTTGACTGCTTTTAGCTTAAGATCGTGAAGATCTCATGTAAAGAATAACACTCTACTTCTCAATTTTCCTCTCTTGTATTTGTGGTTCCTTGTTTTCGTAACATCGGTTTGAGCAAAAAGTCCTGTGGCACTTCGAAAAGATCCAAAAAAGGCCCTGCAAACATTTTTGCCCTTGAAATCGGTTTAGTGTTCCTGAAAGTTTCAGCAAACGGTAACCGGCGTGGTCAAGGCTGAGCTTATTCTTCTTGTAGACATTGAAAAGGCTTTTTAGCCAGCGTAATGCAGGGTTATGAGGCCTGGGTTCCTAATCTGACAGTGCACATAAGCCAATAGAATCCGCCGAGAAAAGCTGCCTGCCTGTAGACTGAAAAAACATACATGGAACTCTTCTTGTAGTATTAGTTGGATCGAAGTTGATTCACCTGAATACTGCTTGTCAACATCAAGAGCAGGTCGATGTCGACCGACATGACTTCATCGACGCCCTTAAAATACTTCAGAAAACCCTTAATTTTAATTGTTCCACAACAAATGACATTCGCACGTGATGAAGATGACACGCCGAAAGCCATTTGTTTCGATCAGGGAGTGTGATCACCCAGCCTGTTCGCTAGACTTCATACTTCTGGCTCTTAGGTCTAATGTGTCTCTTATAGCGCGTTCATACTTTACGATACGATTGTGCGTCAAACGCTCGAGCGCTTGATCGCGAGGTATTAATGCGCTCTTGGAGGACAAAAGATTTAATAGTCAGCGGATCGAGATGGACCGCTTCTTTTCATTACTGTCCCTACTTTTTTTGGAGAGCAGATCGAGAAGATGCCCACAGGGCAGGCATGACTTCTAACTTATGATTTAAAACCTCATTCTGTAAAGGTATATCTAGCCTGAGTATCGTTTGAGTGTCGCAGGACGTCTTGCTCGACCTTAAATTTGCTTCTTGTGTGATTTATTGATTTCCTTGTGTTTTCAGGCCTAAACTGCCCCCACCAGTATCAATACACAACACTGATTCTGATGATGACTTCTTCGATCTCTAGCCGACTTTTCTGGGTTATGCATGGATGGTGACGCATTAGTTACTGCAACTGATCACTATCTTTACTTTTTCTTGTGTGCATCTACTTATGACAGGTTTTTAATGTTGACATTATTAATGTTATTGCAATAAAGGATGCTATACAAAAGTTTTTTCCTGCACATTTTCGTTTCTTCGGATTTCGTTACATGGCGCCTTTTTATTCGAAAAAAATCCTTCATAATGGGGTAATATTACGCTGTTTTGGTTTTGTTTCTGTAAGGGTTCTTCGTCGTAGACGTCTAATGTCAAGAGATAGATGGGATCCATTGCTCAACTCCTCTTGTACTTCAGCAAAACAAAGCTATTTCACTCATGTTGTTTCGCTGACAACTTTGCGAGCCGAGCCTAACACCTAACCTTTTTCCTTTTGAAACCCTTCAGTTGTCAGTTGGTTCTATGCATTTATATTTCCGATGTTGTGTGTTCGTACACCTGAGAAAGGCTTACGGCCCAAAACCTCATCAGCGAAACAAGGCTTTCGTTTGAAACAAGAACAAGGAGTCTAAGTGAGCGCAGGAGCTTGTTAAGAGCATCGAAAGGTGCTTGACGAAGCCTGGGCAGGTCACATACCCAGGAAGTAAAGTGACTTGCTTTCTTCTATTTTCAGAGATGTTACAGGTCTTGGCAGGGCGAGACTTGTTACTTAAAATGAATTCTTAAACACACGCTTAAAAGCCACAATGTGCAAAACTTCTCCTCCCCCCTCCCATTCGCCCTCCCTGTCGCATCCTAGACCGTACACGGGAGGCAGTCGTTTGGTGCGATCACATTGCCGTTTCACATGTTTTGGCAGGTAATGGTGGGGTCTACCAATGTGGGTAACTCGTCCGAATCGGCGATCTGTTAGGTTTTCGCAATTGATGGCCTAGATAAGGCTGTGAAAGTTGGCTCGGATGCTAAGGGTTCCCAGCCAGGTTCCCAATGATTACTTATTATTAAGCAAGTGTCAATTAAAATATTGGACGAGTTGCCCTAGCCGGAAGACGGTTAGCTTAACATGTTTCGGCACGTCAGTGACAGAATGATCGCGTCAAGCGACATGCACCAGCCGTACAGCGCTTCTAGTAGAATATAGGCCGGTGAGGCTTCCCTTCTTCAGAGAAGCGAGCCTTTCATAAATAATCTAAAACAGAGCCATCCAGCGTTACAACTGTACAGCTTTCCTTCCTAGTCCTTCTCAAAACCGATGGTTTCGAACAGTAGTGTTTTGATGCACGAGACGTTCGGCAATAATCTTGTAGAATAGTTTTTTTGGCACTATTGAACTATTCCTACCCCAAAAACTGAAAAAAATTTTCGCTGAAACGTTGCCTATAGGTGTAATTCGATGTCCTGATCACGAATATCACATTCGTTTCAAGCGCTGGCGTCATTCTGGCGCCATTATGCGCCAATTTGGCGCCCACCACTTTTTTCACCAAAGTCGATGAAAACTCTGCATATGGGGGTTACTTGAGGTCCTGATTACGAATCTGACATTCATCTTTGGCGTATGGCAATTTGGCGCCATATTGGCGCATAATGGCGCCAAATGGCGCCAGCGCTTGAAACCAGTGTGATATTCGTGATCAGGATGTCGATTAACCCCCATATGCAAGTTTTCATCAACTTTGGTGAAAAAAGTGGTGGGCGCCAAATGACGCCAGCGCTCGAAACGGATGTGATATTCGTGATCAGCGCATCGAATTACATCTATAGGCAACGTTTCAGCGAAAATTTTTTTTGAGTTTTTGGGGTAGGAATAGTTCAACAGTGCCATTTTTGCTACAGGATTCACGGGCAGGGTTCGATCTTAATCACTTGTTGTCAAAAGCTACACCGGTACACGAGTCTTTTTTGTGCTTGAAATACCAGGTTTATCTCCAAAAGTAATTCGTGTTTCCTTGGGAAAGCGCTCCCGTGCATGTGCGAAAGTGTAGCTGTTAACGTGCATGGTTCACAGCCACCATCTATTCTACAGTGCCTTTCCGTACGATTGGTGATTGTTGAGGGCCGGAAATGTGTTGAAAAAAATTTATTTGATTGTGTATCGCCTGCGAAATCTTTTTTCGATTGCTAGATTTCAACGTTTTTTTCATAGAGACCCGCCCCCGCTCGAAGACAACATGTTGGATAAATTTAGGAAATAGAACTTAGTAAAAGCGTAAACAGAATATGAGACGGAATCGTACCGGAAAAAAAACAATGCTCTAACAAATCATGGCAACGTACTTTATTTCCAGAGAAGGTGAAATCTGAGTTTTTTTAGCTGGTTTTCGTCCGAAGGTCTGTTCTGTGCAGGTTCCCCTTCGTATATGTCAACTTGTGATGCAGCCTGTAGTAGCAGTAATTGCTGTAAGGAGGATGAGGTTATCCTTAACAGTAGTGTTTGGTTACAGTGCTTTCATACTTTGTGTCAACATTTTGAGCGACTGGGGAAATATAGGTAGGTATCGATCTAGCGATTTGCCAGCTTCCTGTTTGCCCTGTTGTCTCTTGAAGAGCCGTTCCTAGCCGATGAGCACGTTGGCGTGCGGCTGCAACTCCGAATCAAAACCTATCCTCTCGTCACTCAGAACGCCGGCGTATGCTCAAAATGCTGGCGCAAAGTATGAACGCAGCCTCATAGTTATTGTTTACTTGAAAGGTCTAATTAAGGATGGCACCTGTAATGAGAACGATGTTGATGCAGAAATCAGAGAGGCCGAGAAGATTTTGAACGCTTTCTTGTGCTACGGCATGCATGGTCGCGAAATGGCATGCAGAACTATGATGTCTTTCAAGTTAGCGAGTCCTTTCGTGTTTACTAACTGACCTCTTATCTTTTTGGCTCCTTTCTCGTGGCATTACGCCAGGCATCATGCCCAGACACACGTCGAATCAGGGAACATGTTCTTTCACTATGATTTGACTCCATTTTGGCTCCATTTTTCATTTCCATGA